AACCAGCTTAACCTTGTATACTGCCATTGATGCTCGGAAGTTGGAGGATGCTTTCAAGCCAAAGGCCTTGGAGATATTCTTCACAGATCCAAGAGGAGATGATAACTTAACGATAGAACTCGTGAAACAACTCTGGGGTGCATGTCTGAACATGCATTGGGATGGAATTTGCACAGTTGTCATGGTTGACATGTTTTGCCCTGAAATCATACAACAATATTTCAAGACTTTTAATAACTACCAAAAAGAACACTAACAAATGAGAGAACAGGAAAGAGAAATGTTGATTAAACTTAAACATCGCCATTATCACTTTTGAAAGAAACAAAGTTGTGCTAGCAACAATACAAATAATGGAGAACAGCAAGGCAATTTAACACCAAATGATGACAGCAAGGAACTTTACACAATAGAATTTTCATTAAAGGGTCGAAAACAATTCAAAACCTTGATCCAGTTTTATCTTACCACAGACATAAGCAAACCAAACCAGCCCCAGCCTAGCCCTAAAAAACTATACCGTGACCCAAAACTTGCATCTGTTATATGTTAGTGATCGACATTATGCAGCAGAACTTTCCACAACCAGCTATTTCATTATTCTCCATATAGATTAATAACTAAATAAGAACGCTATCTGCTCTTGAATTTCATTTCAGGTCTCTAACAACACAGCTGAATAAGATAGGGACATCACTTGTACGCTTCTAAAAAATTCATAAAAAGATGGAACAAAACCATCCCCTCTGAAACACAAAGGCAGTCAATGTCCGGAGCACTATGAGAAGAAGCAAGCTCATGGCTCTATGCTCTTCACTCGAGGCTCCGTTTTGGTTAGATAGCATATACAGATGGTTACTTTAATCCGTGAAGAATAACTAAATTATTGGTCTAGAACTAGAAGTGTAACCACAAAACAAGTTATAACACTAAATGATCCAAAACAAAACAATATACACCATCCAACATGACCTATGAAAATTCCACAAAAAGATAAACAACAAACAATCCCCAGAAAAAGTGTGCATCTAGCATCCAAGCCCACAACTGAAAATTGTGACACGCCTCTCACAAGTACTCATATGATATAAACGGGTCAATCAACTTCTCCGTAATCTATTTGACCTTGTATGACCCCCTACTGAATTCATCAAGCAAATTTTAATTGATTATTGTCTGTGGTTATTCTGGTAGTGGCCAAAATCATTTCAAATGTAGGAAAGGAGACAAATACAAAAGTAAAGTTCACAATAAAGCCAACACTACAGAAAGTTGACAATAATTAAATATAACTTTTCAACCAGATGCTGTAATTGACCATTGGAAAACATGCATAACATAAAAATTCTTAAATTTAAAACTTTCAGCAAGTTCACACCAGAACAAAAATCAGATCAATAAATTTTGGAAGATTAAGGGTGAAAACGCAAATAGCTCTAAAACCAAAGTCAGATCAGTTAACTAATATATGAGTCATACCAAACAATAATCAACCAGATTATACCAAAGCCAATAACATGAGAACCCATTTAGCTTCACCAAATTACGAAGTGCGTCAAAACCCAGCAACTTCAGCCAAATAGGTCCCATTTTACCATTTGGGGGTATTCGGAATCTAATTCTAAGTTCAAGACATACATCCTGACAATAAAAACTAAAATTCCAACAAATATTGTTTGCAAAACGAGCAAGAAAGGGAAAAGAAAAAGCAAAACGAGCTTTGGGTCATAACAGAAGGTGCTTTCAAAGACACAATCAAATACAGAACCTATGCTGTTTTCAACTTTTCATTTCTGCTTCAGTTTTCAGAAAAACAAATTCTGAAAACCAAGGATCAATTCAGTCCTGATCTTCATTTTTCTATATATGTCACACGCAAAAACACAAAACCCACAACACAAACCCTCACAACAAAACCCAAAAACCAAAGGGAGAAGACTGATCAGCTGTTAAACAAATAAACAAACTGATTTAATCTCAAAAACCACAGATCCAATATTACATGCATATACTGACCAAAAAATAAAACCATGACATGCGCACATATTAAACATGGAAAGAGAAAGACAGAGAGAGAGATAGCTTACGGAGTGGGATGGGTTGGTGAGGAAGGATGAGAGAGTTGATGAAGACTGAGGTGGGGATGTTTTTATTTCGGCTGAGAGCGGAGAAAGCGAGGAGGGGTCACGGTAACTAAACCCTATATATATAGGACAGAGAAGGGAGTGTATTGTAGGACTCTGTTTCATTAAGAAATATGAAAAGGATGGCCCTTGGCATATTCTGAAAGCCATTATAAGCCAAGGACACTTGAAAGATCCCCGTTGCCACCAGCCAAAAGGCCCAAAACCAACTCCTCCTTTTTCCTTTTTGTGGTTCATGCTACATTCAACGCACACTAATTATTTTTTTAATTCTTATTATTTTTTATTTATATATAAGCGATATTGGAGGAGAATTGCACGAGTATCTTCATTTATATAGGGATAAATTTTTTAAACCTAACTAATTCCGATGTCATTTCCTTACGTTCACTCGCACTTATGGCATGTTTATTTATAGGGATTATGTTGGGAGGATTATTGGAATTATTCGTATTTCTAACTATTTATGTCATGTTTACTTATTAGGAATGTGTATGAAAAGAAAAATAATTATTTCAATTCATGAATTTCTCACATGTTTATAATGAATCCAAAAATAAAAAAAGTTAGTCCCACTTTAAATCCGTAATCCAATACCCTCAAAACAAGGAACTAGATCAACTACATTTTTTTTCTTCTCCTATATTGCCTTCCAAAACTTGGTTTAGCTTCCAATTCATGAGAGTTACTAAGTACAAATAATGGGAATCAACTATTTCTATTATGATTCCATGCGGTAAGTAAACAATTCCTTATTCCTTACTTTCCCTATTCCTAAGTTTGTCAATTCCTCACTTCCGTGATTCTCGTTAAGTACTTATGACATTTTAACACGTGTATTAGAATTATTCTGATTCCTAGTTTCTCACGCGCTCCACATCACGATATGTAATCTACTAGCTGAAAAATCATGAATTAAATTGATTGAGAATAGTAGTTGATCGAATTGGCCAATTCATTTTCTTCCATGTGCATAACTTTCCTGATTCATCATTGCCTCAATTCTAAATAAATAAACATGCCATTAGTTACATTGTAGAAGTTTTGACTGAAGTGACGTTAAAAGAAATGGATAAAGATGTCAGACATCATGTTTGAGGTTTTAGCTCATTTTCAACTTAAACCCTGAATTTTGAAAGTTAAGCATGTACTAGTTTGAAGACCAACCAATTAACAAACCTCACAATATTACCAACCAGATCTTGGTCTAATGCTACTCATCCTTCCCTTGAGTGAACCCATCACCGCATCCACACCTTTCCCTCACCGTTCCCCTTGTTGTCGCGCTAGTTTCACCAAGTTCCTCAAGACATCCATCAAGTGCAACTCATTCCCTAGGTTCAACCTCTCACTGCTCATTCTATGGTAACACGGGCTAAAACTGGTTCTTAAGCCCAATACTTGGTATGCTAATCATGCCTCCTTTTGGATTCAACTAACTTTAGGCCAATATAAATGTGAAAGAAAGACTTTAGGCCCAAATTTGCCTTAAATGTTATAGATATTGAAGCCCAACAAAAAAAAACACTGCATTAAACTGAAAAAACTGGAAGGAAAACCGAATTGTTCATTGGCAGTTCAATTTGGTTCGATTTTTCTCCAATTTTGACTAAAAACCGAACTGGATGAATAATACCGATTTCGATTTTAAGTAAAAACAAGACTGAACCGAATCGTGTCCACCCTTACATATAGGCGTTAAAAGCTTATCATGTGTTATTATCATCTATGTATCACTTGCTTAATTCTTTGCAAATCACCTCTCATTATCTAATAATGTTGTGTCTCTAACCTTTTTTTCTGTACTTGTGATCTGATGTAACTCGTGTTAATTATGAATAATATGATAACACAACCACTACATATTCTTGTGGCCTTCAGCTTATCTTTCACTTTCTAAGTTCTGAAAATTTCTTGGTCTGAATTCAGAATTCCGGTTGTAACTTGTAGTGCTGTTTTCATTTTGTAATTTGGATTGTTGAAGGAGCAAAAGTTTGTATGCTTTGGCAGATTTTGGACAGGAGATGATCAAACCATTCCCACATGGGCTTATATAGTTACATTTACTTTTTATGGTAAAGTAATCACACACACGTACTAGATAAAGTCCTTATTTTTACTTCTAGTGTTAGAAAAGTGGATATATAATGGATAAACTTGACCCTTTCATGACACTGGGAAGGGATGTTAACAACAAAGCAGATTTAAAGTAAAACCTAATATTATAATTATTGTTATGATATTCAACTCAACTGATTAATTTTAATATTTCTTTGTCTTTCCATTTTGTAGAAAAATAAAATGACGCACTGACTGGTGGTGGAGTTTAGTCTACAAGACTTAAAAAACTTATATATGTAACAGGGATAATACATGAAAAAATAATTATATGTGTCATTGTGTTATTGATCGAAAATAACAAAAAGTGTTATTTCTGTTAGATGAGAACCACATATATGTATGAAATGAAGCATGAATTATATGATTGAGGAGAGAGTGTAAAAATAGTGAAAGTGGAATTTTTTTGAAAATATCTGATTTTTTAATCTGAAAGGGTTCGTTGTGCTTTCAGTTCTACCTTGTTTATAAGTCTCCTGCGTCAGGTTTGTCAAAAAGTGAAGTAGATGAAAAATACGAAGAAAGAATTTGCGGTCCCACCAACATTGTCGTTATATGTTTCTTCCCATCTTCATAATAGTCGACAGAGGGAGAAAATGGGAAACCAAATGGTCCTTTTGCTTTTCTTTCTCCAATATATTTTTGAAAGCATCTGCTTTTATCTAAAGCAAAAGGAGAGAGAAAAAAAAAAATTGACAATACATATATTGTCCAGATTCCGATATAAATAGCTTAACTTGACTTTCGCTTTCAACGATTTATGAGTCGTCCATTGTTATTTATCTCAGCTTCATCAAAATATATGCTCATACCAACTTGTTAATCTAAGCTTTAGTTATTCTACTAACTCATGTTCACAGAATAATACCTTCTCTCTCTCAACTCTGAATTCCATATTGAAAAGAGGAAGTTAACACCATGGAGATTGTGGCGGGAGCTTTTGCAGAGGCTTTGCTAGAGGAAGTGTTCGAGAAGATGCTTTCGAAGGAAGTGCTTGATTTCATCCAGGGAAGGAAACTCACTGAGGGTTTGCTGAAGAAGTTGAAGATCACTTTGTTGTCTGTGAATGCTGTTCTTGATGATGCTGAGGAGAAGCAAATAAGCAACCAAGATGTGAAGCAATGGCTCGAAGAGCTTAAGGAGGCAGTCTATGATGCTGAGGATCTGTTGAACGAGATTAAGACAGAAGCCTTGAGGTGCAAGGTGGAGGCTGAATCTGGAAGCAGCACTAGTAAGGTACATATTGTGGGGATTTTAAGAAAAATGGCATTTAAAGTTTTTATTGACTTGGTGGAATTTACTTTTACTTTGAAAGTTGTCTTTTTTAAATAAAAAAAGAAAATAAAAAGAAAAGAAGAATTCAAAATTAGGAATCTTGAGGAATCCCTAAATAGATGGGTACTCTATATATACTTTTTTTTTTGTTTGCATGAACTTTTATTTCTTTTTTTTTTCAATTACTTGTATTTGAATATACTTTTTTTTTTTGTTTGCATGAACTTTTATTTCTTTTTTTTTTCAATTACTTGTATTTGAATATACTTTTTTTTTTACCCATGAAGTAGTTGTGTTTTGAATTTATTTTTCTTAAACAAGGGACTTTTGCTTTATGTATAGAGATTTCTGTATACTAGGGAATGAATATGTTCCTAGGAAATTTATGTGTATCTCTATTCCAAATGAAAAGAAATTAACTTCAATTAAATATTTAATTAGCTTTAAAATTATTAATTTGTTGTTGGTGAATTAACAGAAGTTCCGAAAACTCTCCAAAAAGCTCTTCTCTGCATGGTTTTATGCCATTGACAAAGCAATTGACTCCAAGATAGAAGAAATCATTGAGAGACTGGACTTCATTGAAAAGAAAAAAGATGTTCTTAATTTGAAAGCAGGAGCAAGACGGAGAGCATCACAAACAATACCTTCAACTTCTTTGGTTGAGGACTTTACTCCATATGGAAGGGATGAGGACAAAGAAACTATCATCAAATTATTATTAGATGATGCTACTGAAAATAAAATAAGTGTGGTTCCCATTGTGGGCATGGGAGGGATGGGCAAGACCACTCTTGCTCAGCTCGTATACAACAACGTTAGAGTAAAGCAGCATTTTGAACTCCAAGCGTGGGTTTGTGTTTCAGAAGAGTTTGATGTTGTTAGAGTGACACAAACAATTTATGGCTCAATCATGTCACGAAGTTGTGATCTCGTGGACCTAAATATGCTTCAGGTTAACCTCAAGGAAGCTTTGACAGGGAAGAAGTTTCTCTTTGTTCTCGATGATGTCTGGAATGAGAAATATCTCGATTGGGATGTCTTGAGGCGTCCATTTGAGTCCGGAGCTCATGGAAGTAAAATCATTGTCACGACGCGCAATGCAAGCGTTGCATCTGTAATGGGTACTCTTCGAACTCACCATCTGATGCAAATATCCGAAGAAGATTGTTGGTTGTTATTTGCAAGACATGCCTTCAAAAGTAGAAGAGTTGGTGGAAATCCAAATCTTGAAGTGATTGGAAGACAGATTATTAGAAAGTGTAAAGGCCTTCCTTTAGCTGCAAAATCACTTGGAGGTCTCTTAAGCTCTGAATCAAACATAGAGGAATGGGAAAATATACTGAAGAACGATATTTGGCAGTTGTCAGATAAGGATAGCAACATTCTGCCGGCTTTATGGTTGAGCTACCATTATCTGCCTCGGCATCTTAAGCGTTGTTTTGCCTATTGTTCGATATTTCCCAAAGATTATGTTTTCACAAAATCGAATCTGGTTTTTCTTTGGATGGCTGAAGGTCTCTTACAATCCAAAAACAAGAAAACAGTGGAAGAAGTTGGAGAGGACTACTTCGATGATTTACTCTCAAGGTCATTTTTTCAACATTCACAAGGCCAATTTGATCACCAACCAGTTTTCACTATGCATGACCTTATCAATGACTTAGCAAAGTTCGTATGTGGAGATTTTTGTGTGAGGTTGGAGGACAATGACTCATTGGACATTCAGTGTAAGACTCGTCATTTTTCGTATATGAAAACATATGGTGATGGTTTTGAGAAATTTGAGGCTTTATATGAGGCGAAGAATTTGCGCACCTTCCTACCATTATCACTAAGGTGTCCAATTGTCGCACAGTTTCATATGTCGGAAAAGATACTGCATGATTTAATTCCAACACTACAATGTTTAAGAGTGCTAAATTTATCAGGCTACAACATTAGGAATTTGCCTAATTCAATTAGTAACCTGAAACATCTAAAGCACTTGGACTTGTCTTACACTTTGATAGGCAAGTTACCTGATACAACATGTACTTTGTACAATTTGCAAACTTTGTTGTTGTCGTACTGTCGGGGCCTTGTTGAGTTGCCAACCAACTTGGAAAGACTAATCAACTTGCGGCATCTTGATATCAGAGGAACAAAATTAGAAAAGATGCCACCAAAGCTGGGCAAATTGCAGGATCTCCAAACATTGAGTGACTTCGTGTTGGACCAAAATACTGCAGGGTATGATGACATTGTAGAGTTGAAGGAGCTTCAGTGTCTGCGTGGAACTCTTTGTATTTCAGGGCTTCATAACATTGTCCATGTCAGGGATGCTTTGGAGGCCAATATGAAGGAGAAGAAGTATCTAAATCAACTTGTTTTGAAATGGGGTGGCGATACTGAGGATTCGCAAAAAGATAGAGAAGTCCTCGACAACCTCCAACCTCATACGAACCTAAAAGAACTGACCATTGTTTCTTATGAGGGTACGAGATTTCCAGGTTGGTTAGTCGATCGTTCTTACTCAAATCTAGTTTGTCTTCGACTTTTGAACTGTAAAAATTGTTACTTCTTGCCACCTCTTGGGATGCTGCCCTCTCTCAGAGAGCTTGAAATTATTGGGTTAAATGGAGTCGTGTCCATAGGTGCTGAGTTCTTTGGTGATGATGGCAGTGAAATCCAGCAATTTCGATCTCTGCAAGTTTTGATCTTCGAAAACATGCGAGATTGGCAAGAGTGGTCTTATGTTGGAGGTAATGAAGAAGGTGGAGCTTTTCCTAATCTTTGTGAGCTTCGTCTGCGGAATTGTCCTAAGCTAAGTGGGAGATTACCTTTGGATTACTTTCCAAAGCTTAAAAGGCTCGTGTTGTGTCGAACTAATATAGAATGTCTCACTCTTTCACAAGAATCTGAACGCAGCAAACTCCTATGCCTCGAGTACCTGTATATATATTGCCCAAGTTTTGTTTGTTTTCCTGATGGAGGGCTACATGCACCAAACTTGACGAATATAAATATCTGTCGCTGCAAGAAATTGAGGTCACTGCCAGAACATATACACACCCTTCTCCCATCTCTTCAGTCTATGGACATAACAGAATGTCCAGAACTGGAATCATTTCCAGACGGGGGATTGCCATCAGAGTTAAAATCACTTCGGATTGAGTCTTGCAGAAAACTGATTGCAAATCGTATGCAATGGGCTCTAGGAAGACTCACCTCTCTCCGAGACTTGAGAGTTGACTTCAATGAATGTGGAGAAGTAGATTCATTTCCAGAGGAGGGGCTTCTGCCAAATACTCTCAGCTCTCTCTCCATCTCCACTCTTTTGAGTCTTAAGACCATGGATGGAAATGGGTTGACAAACCTCATCTGTCTTGAAAATTTGGCAATTCGGAGATGCCCTGAGCTCCAGAGCTTGCCAGAGGAAGGGCTGCCAACTTCTCTTTCACTTCTAGAAATCTTTTATTGTCCTTTGCTAAAACAACGATGTCAGAGAGAAAAAGGTGAAGATTGGCCCAAGATTGCTCACATCCGTCACATAATGATCGATGGAGAACAGATATGATGTGCCATGTCTTGATCGATCCCAGTGGCGTTATCAGGTGATTGTTCTGCAGTCTCTGCTCATAAGTTTAAAATGGCTAGTTCTCTGTTCTCTTGTGTTTTTTACTGGCTTTTGACCCAAAAAAAATTTGAAACAACTGTTACTACATTGCTATGCTTACCAAATTGCATGCCTATTTTGAGATATCTGAACAAACTTTTCTTATTGTTTATAACTTCTAACTTGCTGTTATTAATTCATAAGAGTGTGTCAATCAAGTAGTAACTACTATTCAATTATCAATCCAACCTTGTTAATATTTAGATTCAGATATCTTTAAGCAAGGAAAAAGTTCCCCCAGTGTTAGACCTACTATCAGTTTAAACATTTTAGTATCCTGATTTGACAGGAAATTTTATTTCTTTTGAGATACTTCTGTCGAATCTGGTGAATACTTCTGTCGAATATGATCAAAAGAAAACACATGAAACAAGTTACACCAACCTGGAAAGTGTTGTTTTCTCAAGCACATAAATCTCTTTAAGATCTTATATGTTCTAAAGCTAAGAAGATACACAAATTCATTGTGTTCACTTACTCTTTTCTGTGAATCAAAATAAAGAGGGACTCAAATTTCCTATTAGAGACCACAACTGTAACATACAAATACAACCCTTGAAGATTTCTTGGAAAAGTTATCGTCTCGTTTTCAGCTATCTAGAATAATAACTATATGACTTGAATGTTGCAGAAAGCCAAACTGCAGGTAATGAAAGTCAAATCTCTCATGTCACATTGCTCAATTTACGTTTAATCAAATATTCAGTGGCTAATGCTAACAAACTTTTAAATTGGGTTAAAATTCTGCAGATATTTATTTAGCTGAAGAACTGCAAAAATCACATGTATGGCTATATCTATACCAGTGCAGTGATTATATCCCCTGCATAATCGATTCATTCTGATATAATGTAGTACCAGAAATCAAGTTTCTTAGTACATCCAGGTAAAGAAATCCACATCTCACACATTTGTAAAATTGATTTTGTACATATTACACCAGCTTGATCAATTTACTTCAAAATAACAGAGTTTCTAAAAGGATGTAGAGCATGGTGCCATCAATTTGGGCACCATGCAGAGAAGCCACTTCTCTGTAGATTGCTGACGGAATATGGCAGTTTAATCTGGACGTCTTCTGAAGAAATTAGTTTGTAAATTGTAATATTTCAGTTTTTCATTGTATTTATATTTAGTTACAAATTCACCTTTTAATGCGTTTTGTTTATCATCTGTCATCTGTGCATGCTTAGTTGGTACATATGTACACTCTGGTCCTTCCTGATTTAAGCTCTCGTTACTCAGTGTGAATTTTGGTGGTTCACTTCAGTTTGAATTAGTCTTTTGAACTGTGGTAATTGACTTTTGTGTAATATGTGAATCTTATTCTAGAATGAAGCAATAATTGTACATAATTCCAATTTTGAGGAAATATTATTTGTACTAACAATTCATCTTCCCAGTCATATTCAAGCTGTTAAAATGAGCTCAGCATGTTAATTTCTCTTGGAGCTAAACAAAGAGATTTGACTTCTGGGAAAGTCATAAGACTAAAAGGGTTATTATAGGCATATCACTTTATGAAAGCTTCTAATAGTCGGGGGTAGCTCTAAATTTGTACAAAGCACAAATAAAAAAGAAAAATGAAATTTGAATAAATAGCACCTGGATTTTTAGGCACATGTGCCATTACCACCTGAACTTTTATTTTTTATCTTTAACCACCTGAACTTTGTAAAGTGTTGCAATCCATCACCTATGTCTAATTCCGTTAAAGTTTCCGTTAAGTTTTGTTGAGGCCCAAAAAATCATAGGACAGGCCCATGCATATTTTAAAGCCCAATCGCTATCATGCTATAAAAATGGCCTAGCTGATGCACACATGCCATGCCAAGCAAGGCTACAATTTGGCACGTGGGGAGGCAGTGGTGTGAGTCTACCACTTTCACATGCAAACTTGTAAGAACTACAAGGTTTCGTAGGCCCAAGCCCACTTAGCCCACTGCACTGTCAAGCATTATCTAAATGCAAAGCCCAAGCCACTGCAATACAACACAGCCCAAGCATAAGCACGCAATAACACGCGATGCCCTTTTAGTGTCAAAATTACACAACAAACTTAAGTGGGCCCAAGCCACATACGTGCCTGGGGCTTGCTGAGCGGGTTGTGGTGTGGATGGTTACAAGGATCCATGAGGCCCATTAAAGGTTCAAGAGAATGCAGGTTTTGGGCTGCTTGGGAGCCCCAAAATCCAAGCACATTTTCTTGAGCCCACTAAATGGGTAAGCAAAGAGAAAGAAAAGCCCAGCACCAGCACGTTCTGTGCGACCGGTCTCTAGGATTTGGCGACCGGTCGTTTTTGCACATAATCGAAATTCCAAAACAACACAGCTGCAGCGACCGGTCGCTGGTCTCGATTTCCAGCTTCTTCTAATCTGCTTCAAAACGACCGGTCGCTCATCCCTTGTGACCGGTCGCTTCCCCCAACACCTACCCATATGTGCAGCACCTCTCCCATACGACACTAAACCAACCATACGACACCTAAACCTTATATTCTCTCCCAAAAACCAACCACCCGGCACCTACATAAAATAAAGAGGTTATGTCATCTCAGCTGGGAGGCAAAACGACAAGAAGGAAACAAACACCTCGAAGCCAGAGAGCAGGTCGGACCACCTTGAAGCCGGAGAGCAAGCCGGACCACCTTGATACCGGAGTGCATGCGTGTGGGGAAGTAAACTCACAAGGTGTATAAAAGGGCAAGGAAGCAAAGGAAAACGGGGACCCGAGGGGGGAACACCCAAAGTACCCCAAGCTCCAGCCATTCCAAACCCAGAAACAGCAACCATTCTTGCTGCGTGCTCACCCAAAAACACTTCAAGCTTCAGCCATTCCAAACCCAGAAACAGCAACCATTCTTGCTGCGTGCTCACCCAAAAACACTTCAAGCTTTAGCCATTCCAAACCCAGAAACAATAACCATTTTGCTGCCGTACTCTAGCAAACTATGCTTTCATTTTGCTGCAGGACCCTTGTTTTGCTGCAGGACCTCTTGTTTTGCTGCAGGACCTTTGGTTTGCTGCAGGACCTCTTGTTTTGCCGCAGGACCTTTGGTTTGCCGCAGGACCTTTGTTTTGCTGCAGGACCTTGTTTTGCCGCATGGCCTTTGTTCTACTGTGTGGGCATTTTGCTGCCGTATTCTAGCAAACCTCCATTTTGCTGCCATACTCTAGCAAACCATGCTTCCATTTTGCTGCCGTACTCTACCAAACCATGTTTGCTGCCGTAACCTTCTGTTTGCTGCCGTAACCTTCATTTTGCTGCCGTAACCTTTCTTTTGCTGCCGTACTCTAGCAAACCATGCTTCCATTTTGCTGCCGTACTCTAGCAAACCATGTTTGCTGCCGTAACCTTCATTTTGCTGCCGTAACCTTTCTTTTGCTGCCGTGCCCTAGCCATAGTAAACAACCCAGCAGACCATGCACTGTCATGCTCTAGATAAACACACAAAACCCAGGCATTAACCTCCCCATTCTCATTTTCTTCCATAATATCACCTTAAGCATTGAGCACCATCCAATCATTCCACAATACACTGCCATAATCATTCGTTCCTCAAGCAAAATACTCTCTCCTGCTAAACTTATGGATTCTTAGCTCCCACACCACAAGCCTCTCATGCCAAGCTCATTATCTTAACTCATCAGATGAAACTCCCATGCCAAACCTATCTCTGTGCAACACTAGCGCATCATCCTCAACTCTTTCCAGAGAAGCCGTACACCATCCAGCAGCAGTGTACACCGTCTAGAGCTGCCGTCCATCTATTCCACGTATGAGCATCAAAAGCCAGTCAAAATATGGAGCTGCTGTAAGAATAACAGAGTACCCCCTAGGGCTTGCCTTCCCTTCGGGATGCTTTGGGCCTAGTTCTCGCTAACTCAGAAACGGGGACTTGAAGGCTTCACTCAAGACTAGCGACCATCCGGCCTAGCTAAGCCTTCCAGCAGAAAAAGACCCCCACAAGTTTAAATGCATTTTTTTCAATTAATTGTAACTAAAAATAATTTTAAAAAGGAAAAAAACGAATGAAATTTAACCTAATTAGCATGGATTACACCACCTTGTTAAGCAGCAAATGGCTCCTTGTTGTCAAGTTGGGTCGGAAAGTGCAGGCTATAAACAATCAACCTATGTGCCATCTTAGGTTGCAGAGTTTGAGCTGATTGGTCCTGCTACTTTTTGGGGATTATTTATTAGCACCTTCTAAGAAAATTGACATGTAATTAGAAGATAAAAAGATCAATATGAAGAGGGTGGGCGACAATTGGCGTTGATAAGGCATAGAAGAAGTATCGTATAATTAAGTTAACTTTATTTATTTATTTTAAATTTATTTTTAGTTATAATTAATTGTGGAAATGCCCTTAAACTTAACGGAAACTTTAATGGAGTAAGATGTAGATTGTGAATTACAACACTTTACAAAGTTTAGATGGTTAAAAATAAAAATTAAAAGTTTAGGTGGTAATGACGCACATGCCTAAAAATTCAGATTGTATTTATGTAAATTTTCCTGAATAGAATGACCAAAAGAAAAATTATCCATTAACAGATTGAATTTCATCCTACTAGCTAGTGATGAGTGACAGAAAAAACTGCTAGATAGAATCATGGAAAATTGATTTGCTATTATCAGAATTCAAATACAAGATAGCAAAGCTAGATATGATGGAAAACAAGATTATTGCTTATTTTAATGAACACCCTTTGCCTTTGTAATAAAATACTTATTTTTTGTGTGATGCAGATAAAATTCTATTTTCAAAACATCTTCCGACAAATTAAAGCATTACTGGCAATCTTGTCATGGTAGAAAAGATAGGTGCATAATTTTCAGGAGCATATGTTTGACTTGATTTGTAGATAGTTGATATTATCTAGCTATCGAAGGCACTAGTTGCAATATTCTGTTAATTGGCATATGACTTTGGTGCCACTAGTTCATTTTCTTTTGTTGTTGTGCCTCTAATTTCAATGGACAGCGACTGATAAGGTAATAGTTAATGCAGGGGAAAACTGTTCATACCACAAGATGTTTGATTTTCCATTTTCTTTTTCCTCTCCGTCAGGACAATTGTCTTTCATGCTCAGCCAGTTTTATTATTCAAGGCCATCATGTTTGTTTTTTCTTCTATTTCTTAGTACATTCTCCCCAACTCTCAAATCCATTTGTAAAGAAGAAATACTGGCTTCGGAGCAGATTAGTGGACCTTTTCTAAGAGCATGACATAACTAATAAAAAGCTTTCAAGGGCCTAGGGATTAAGTACATTTCTGCTCATCTTTCAGCTTCCAGTCTAACTAAGAAATCATGGTTCCAGAAGTAGTGGCTGGAGCGTTTCTATCCTCTTTTCTCTCTGTTCTGTTTCATAGGATATGTCTTCCCGTCAGGTTCTTGACTTCATTAGGGGACGGAAAAAAACCAATAAGCTGCTTGGGATGTTGAAAATAAAGCTGAGATACTCAAAATATTTAGGGTTTAAACTGATATGTTTATTCTTCTCTCAAAGAGGAATATATATACTACATACAGAGTGGGTACAAATAGGAAATATGTACAAAATTCCTAATTCTACTCAAATTAGATAATTACAATAAAATATAAATTCTATTCATAATAGGAACGTTGGCTCATGCCAACACTCCCCCTCAAGTTGGTGCATAGATATCGGTAATGCCCAACTTGTCAAGTGAGTCTTCAAATCGGCGCTTTGACACGGCATGGGTCAACATATCTGCAAGCTGCTCTGAAGAAGGCACAAAAGGTATAGAAATTAACTTATGCTCCAACTTCTCCTTAATGAAATGCCGATCAACTTCTACATGCTTAGTTCGATCATGTTGCACCGGATTGTTAGCAATTTCAAATGCAGACTGATTATCACAGTAGAGCTTTGTAGCAGCATCCGGTCTAAACCAAATTTCAGCAAGTAACCACCTCAACCACAATATTTCACAAACCCATTGGGCAATCCTCTGCAGAGGACCGAGACACAACGTTTTGCTTCTTGCTACACCACGTAACTAGGTTACCACCAACAAAGGTGAAGTAACCTGATGTAGAACGTCTATCTGTAATATTCCTTGCATAATATTCGTCAGTGTAACCTTCTAGATCCAAGTGGCCATTTTTCTTAAATAATAAACCTCTCCCAGGAGCAGACTTTAAGTAACTCAGAATACGTATCACAGCAGCCATATGATCCTCACTAGGTGAATGCATAAATTGGCTAGCAACGCTTACCGCATAGGCAATATCATGGCGTGTCAATGATAAATAAATAAATCTTCCAACTAACCTTTGGTATCTTTCTTTGTTAGTTGGAACCTGATCAACATAATCACCAAGTTTATGATTCTCAACAATAGGTGTATCAGCTGGTTTACAGTCAAGCATTCCAGTATCTGCTAGCAGGTCCATGACATACTTCCTTTGTGAAAGAAATAAGCCATGTTTAGATCGAGTGACTTCCACTCCTAGAAAATATCTCAGACTGCCCAAATCTTTCATCTCAAATTCAGATGCTAAACGCTTCTGCAGTTTCACGATTTCTACAATATCATCACCAGTCACAATCATATCATCAACATAAATAATCAACAAAGTCACCTTACCAGCCCTATGTTTAATGAATAGAGTATGATCAGTATTGGCCTGTTAGTAACCAAACTTTTTCATAGCTGTAGTAAATCTGCCAAACCATGCCCGAGGAGACTGCTTTAACCCGTACAACGCCTTTTTTAATTTGCACACGTTCCCCATGCCACCGGTAACACTATACCCTGGTGGAAGACTCATGTACACTTCTTCTTCTAGTTCACCATGTAAGAATGCATTTTTTGCATCAAATTGCCTCAGGGTCCAATTCAAGTTTACTGCTAAGGACAACAAAACTCTAACAGTATTCATCTTAGCCACAGGTGCAAAAGTATCATGATAATCAACTCCATATGTCTGAGTAAACCCTTTAGCTATTAATCTTGCCTTGTACCTCTCCACAGTACCATCTGCATTAAATTTAACTGTAAACACTCATCTGCATCCTACAGGCTTCCTTCCCTTTGGTAGATCAACAATGTCCCATGTATTATTTTTTTGCAGCGCCTCCTCAACACGAGTTGGAATTTTAATACTATCCATTCTGGTCACAAAAACTTTGCACTCAGGAGATAACTTGTGATCAGACACATAATGGGCAATAGCATATCTTGCTTTGCCTTCTGGTGAGTAACGATCAGGTGGAACCCCACGGTTCCTTCTAGGCGGTAAACTTTGCACTCAGGAGATAACCTGTGATCAGACACATAATGGGCAATAGCATATCTTGCTTTGCCTTCTGGTGAGTAACGATCAGGTGGAACCCCACGGTTCCTTCTAGGCGGTAAAACATAAGAATTATCAGCAGTATGAATAGAAGTACTTACCTCAGGAATATCCAGGGGAGCTTGATCGAGTACTATTAGAGAAGCTTCATGGGGTGCATCAGTTAAAATAGTAGGTTCAGCTGGTGTAGTAGGTTCAGCTAGTGTAGCAGGTTCAGCCGGTTCAGCCGGTTCAATAGGTTCAGTCGGTTCTTCCCTTTGTATCAAACTATCCAATACTACTCCCCCTTGTAAATCTAGCCAGTTATGTCCTTCACTATTAGTCTCCCCCTGAAGGACATGCTCGGGTGTATCAGAGAAAAACATTTCATCCTCAATAAAGGTAACATACATAGAGACATATAGACGTCGGGTTGCAAGATGATAACATCGGTAGCTTTTCTGATGAGGAGAAAAACCCAGAAAGACACAACGGAGAGCACAGGGGTCCAACTTACTCCTCTGATTCTTATGGAGGTGAACATAGGCGACACAACCAAACATCTTTTGAGACAGAGTCAGCATAGAAGAGGCAGAGATATGATGGGTCAGTACCTGCATAGGATTTTGGAAATCCAAAACTCGTGAACGGAGGCGATTCAAGAGATAGACTGCATAGGTAACAGCATCCATCCAGAATCGCTTTGGAACTGACGCACCAAGCAGTAGAGCACGGGCAGCAGCAAGGATCTGCTCGTTTTTACGTTCAGCAACCCCATTCTGTTGTGGTGTTTGAGGGCAAATAGTCTCATGGAGTACACCCTTAGTGTGGAAAAAATAGGATAACGCCGAATTAACAAATTCTCCACCATTATTAGATCGAAAAACCTTGATAAGGAGCATAAATTGAGTCTGAATCATCTGATAGAAATGCTGAAAAATTTCAACCACATCACTTTTATTTTTCATCCCATATAACCACATCATACGAGTGCAATCATCCACAAATAACACAAACCAACGAACTCCCAAGGCTGTAGAAACAGGGGAAGGTCCCCAAACATCAGAATGAACTAAATCAAATGGCATAAGTCATTTATTACAACTTGGAGGGTAGGATACCCGATGACTCTTAGCTAAAATACAAGTTTGACATTGGAAAGCAGACTCGTTTACACCACTAAATAATGCTGAAAATAAATGTCGTAAATATCCAAAGGAGGCATGACCAAATCGGCAATGTAGCAACCAAATCCGGCGATGCTGAGAAGTTTCAGTGTTACCAACACGAAGAACCCGACTAGTTGCCACATCATCCACATAATAAAGCCCCCCCTTTTTAGTACCATGACCAAAGATCTCCCGAGTTTGGATATCCTGTAGTAAGACAAAAGACGGATACATCAGTACAACGCAGTTTAACTGCTCAGTAACTTGCGGCACAGATAATAAATTACTAGACAAAGATGGAACCAGTAACACTTTGTCCAATGGTAAAGCAGGTGTCAAGAGTATAGAACCAGCCCCCGTGACAGGTGCAGTAGCATTATTAGCAGTCAAAACATGATCACGATGAGGCGGAAGAGTAGTAGAGAATAAAGCAAAATTATACGTCATATGGTCAGTAGTTCCTGAATCAATAATCCAACCTGTATCGCGTGTGTCATGGGCATGGAAAGCCTTGCCAAAGTTACCTGGAGGTGGAGGTGGAGGTGTTGGAGTGTTTAAGACCGCGGGCAAGGTCGGAGGAGGCGTAGCAGTAAGGTGGCCATGCCCAGTGGTGTTTTCAGCCATAGAAGTGGGGGCAACAACCACATGAGCTTTGCCATTCAGTTGTTCCTTCTTTAAATGCCCCTGCTTCTTCTCCCAGTCTGGTACCCCATGCAATGCCCAGCAGGTGTCGATAGTATGTCTCTTTTCACCGTAGTGATCACACTTCAGTTTGTCTTTTTCTGCAGAAGTCAGGTGAGGAGGCGGAACAGCAGAAGAGCCAGACCCTGTAGGCTGAGAAACCAAAGCAGTGTTTTTGGAAGCAAACACAACAGCAGGTTCCCCAATCTTGGCACCAGATCCAAGCATAGTAATCTAGTGTTAAGCCTCTCGACGGACCATAAAAAATACATTTTCGATGCGTGAAACTTTATCACTCCGTAGAATATCACTGCGGACCTTGTCGTAAGTATCGTCAAGGCCAGCCAAAAAATCATACACACGATCTGCCATAACAGCAGCCTGAAAAGTCTTCATATCATCAGCACACTTCATATGAAAAGGACGTCTCTTGCCCAATTCAAGCCAAATTGCCTTAAGTTCGGCAAAATAGGTAGAGACAGGACGACCCTCTTGCTTGAGACTGGTAGCCTGGCACCGCAGTTCATAGAGTTGGGATATGTCAAAGCCATCATAAAACATATGATTAACAGCATCCCAAATTTCCTTAGCAGTAGGTAGAGTATGAAACATATTCAACAAACTGTGTTCCATAGTTCGCAACATCCAACTTTTCACAACAGCATCAGCAATTTTCCACTTCCCAAATTTCGGGTCTTGAGAATCAGGAGCATCATCGTCGCCAGTCAGGTAACCCAATTTTCCTTGTGTAGTAGCATGGAGTTCGATCATTGAAGCCCATATCTCATAGTTGGATCCATTCAAATTGAATCCCATAGGTAGGGTGGTGGACAATTCAGTATGAACCGTCACAATAGGAGTAGAAGAAGAAGATTCAATGACATCTGACATGGTGATAGAAGGCGGCGGCAGCAAAAGATTAGGTGTATAGGCTAAGTGCAGCGGAAATAGGTATTTTTAGGATTAGGGTTTTGATGTTGTAGAGACGGATCGGAACCCGCTTTGATACCAACTCAAAATAATTAGGGTTTAACTGATATGTTTATTCTTCTCTCAAGGAGGAATATTTAGGGTGGGTACAAATAGGAAATATGTACAAAATTCCTAATTCTACTCAAATTAGATAATTACAATAAAATATAAATTCTATTCATAATAGGAACGTTGACTCACACCAACAGAGATCAGTTAATGCACTGCTAGACGATGCAAAGGAGAAGCAAATCAGAAGCACAACAGTGAGAGTGTGGCTTGACTAGCTTAAAGATGCTCTCTATGAGGCAGATGACCTTCTGGACGAGATCAACATTAAAGCTCTGCGATGCAATCTGGAAGCTAAATCCGGAAGCAGCAGCACAAGTAAGATTACAATCCTAAATTCCACTTCCTTTGATGAGATCGAAAATGCTATCAAACCCAGGATAGTGGAGATTCTTGACAGATTAGAACTTATTCTAAAAGAGAAAGTTGATCTGTGCATTAAAACAAGTGTTAAAGGTAGACAACAAGCCACTTTACCTACAACATCTTTGGTAGAAGACAACAGTGTGTATGGAAGGGATGCGGACAAAGATACTATTATCGAATTATTGCTATCGAATGATGGAGAGAATAATAAGATAAGTGTCATTCCTATTGTGGGCATGGGTGGGATTGGAAAGACCACCCTTGCAAGACCACCCTTGCTCAACTGGTATACAAAGATCTTAGAGTGAAGCAACATTTTGACCTCAAAGTATGGGATTGTGTTTCAGAAGAGTTTGATGTTGCTCGAATAACGCAGACAATTTATGGGGAAGTTAGTTCACAAACTTGTGACATGACAGACCTCAACCAACTTCAAGTTAAACTCCAAGAGGCTTTGACAGGGAAGAAGTTTCTCTTTGTTTGTGATGATGTTTGGAATGAGAATTATATCCAATGGGATTTGTTAAGGCGTCCCTTTGAGTCCGGAGCACATGGAAGTAAGATCATCGTCACAACGCGCAATGAAGGTGTTGCATCTGTTATGGGTACTCTTCCAACTTACCATCTCATGGAAATATCTGACGATAATTGTTGGTTATTATTTGCAAAACATGCCTTCAAAATTGAAGGTCGTAATGAAAATTCAAAAATGGAAGTGATTGGAAGAGAAATTGTTAAGAAGTGTAAAGGCCTTCCTTTAGCTGCAAAAGCACTTGGGGGTCTCTTACGCACTAAGGTAAATGAGGATGAATGGAAAAATATATTGAGAAGTGACATATGGGAGTTGTTAGACAAGAACGTTAACATTCTTCCAGCTCTGTGGTTGAGCTATCATTATCTACCTCCGCATCTTAAGCGTTGCTTTGAGTATTGTTCTTTATTTCCAAAAGATCACACATTTATAAAATCGAAATTGGTTATGTTGTGGATGGCCGAAGATCTCTTACAACCTAGAAAAAAGAAAACTGCGGAAGAAGTTGGAGAGGAGTACTTTGATGATCTCATCTCACGGTCATTTTTCAACAGTCATGAAGTGTTCAATCGTTTTTTACTATGCATGACCTTATCAATGATCTAGCAAAGTTTGTGCCGGGAAAATTCTTTGTTAGGTTGGAGGACAGTGACTCACTCAACACCGTGATTAAAACCCGTCATCTTTCATTTATGAAAAAAACAGATTGTCATGCCTTTGAGAAATTCGACGATTTAAAGTATTTGTACACCTTCCTACCATTATCATTGCTACCTATATGGGTACAAAGTTAGAAAAGATGCCACCAAAGATGGGCAAACTGAAAGATCTCCAAACGTTAAGTGACTTTGTCTTGGACAAAGGTCATGGCGATGATATCGCCGAGCTAAAGGAATTTCAACATTTGCATGGAACACTTCGTATTGCTGGCCTTCAGAATATTGTTCATGCCGAGGATGCTTAAAGTCCAATATGAGGGAGAAGGAGCGTTTGAATGAACTAATTTTGCAATGGGGATTCAGAGATAGATAGGCAGGTGCTCAACAACCTCCACATTGGCGGAACCACACTAAGGGCTGCAGTGGGCTGTAGCCCAGTGTGGTTTTTTAAGAAAAAAAATATAAAACTTATATATTTAGCTTATTTTCAATATTAGCCCAGTCAGTAGTTGTGTACAGATTACCTTATTTCCACTTTCAACATTTAAGTAAATGTCTTTGTCATGTCTTTGTCATTTTACTTTTATTTATTTTTATATTATGTCTTTGTCATGTCTTTGTCATTTTACTTTTATTTATTTTTATATTACTCCATTTACTTAAGTTTACAATGTAAATAAGGAAGTACCCCCCATTTGGATTCAAATAAAAATACTAGAAAATCAAATTCCCACCAAATCAAAATATGAAAAATCGGTTTTAGTGCAAAATACGATTTAGGCTAAAAATGATGGCTCATTAAGTCAATATATACTTCATACTAAAATCCCATAAAATCAAGTTTTCTTATTTGATGTGTGAGGAATAAAAGCCGCCAAAAATTATCTTCAGAAAATGATTATTCCGAAAACCCATTTTTCATACTTAGTCAATATTTTTACATAAAACAATTTTTCATGTATGATATGAATGCATGAAGGGACTAAGATCAATCTAGGTAAAAAGCCTTAGATGTTCAATCCACTATAGCGTTAAACCCTATTTGGTTTATGTTAAAACTTCTTGAAAATTAGTTTATGGAGCTATGAACTAGCGTGGTTTCTATGATTTAATGTTTACTTTTATTTCTACAAAGACTATAGAAATTGTAAGTACCAAAAAAAATAATCATTAAATTTTAAGCTAATAACTTTAGCTAGCCCACCCGTTGAAAAATTCCTAGTTCCGCCCTTGAACCTCCAGCCCCATACAAACCTAAAAGAACTCACAATTTGTTCTTATGGGAGCACTAGCTTTTCGAGGTGGCTAGTACATTGTTCCTCTAATCTTGTTTGTCTTCGACTCAAGCGATGTGAAAATATTTTACTCCTGCCACCAGTGGAACAGCTACCCTTACTCAAAGAGCTTGAAATTGATGAGTTAAATGGAGTGGTGTCGATTGACAATGAGTTTTATGCTGATGATACTTGTTCAATGTCTTCAAGTGTTGAAAATAAAAAATATGTTGGAATGGGAAAAGTGGTCTTATGAAGTTGGAGGTTTTCCTAATCTTCGCGAGCTTCGTCTGCTGAAGTGTCCCAAGCTAACCGGTATATAACCGTTAGACTACTTCCCAAGGCTTAATATGCTCAAGTTGTGTGGAACTGGTCTAGAATCCGCCACTATTTCACAGGAGCTCATCTTGATAGACTTAACAGAGATATATATCAATGAATGTAAGAAATTGAGGTCATTGCCAGAACAGATGCAGGCCCTTCTCCCATCTCTCCAGTCTATGTCCATAGAAAACTGCCCAGAAATGCACTCATATTTTGAAGGTGGATTTCCCTCAAAGTTAAAATCTGTTTCCATCTGCTCTTGCAAAAAGCTCATTGCAAACCGTGTGCAGTGGAATCTACCAAGACTCACTTCTCTCAGACACTTGACAGTCAGCTTCGAAGCATGCGAAGCAGTAGATTCATTTCCGGAAGAAGGGCTGCTGCCTTCCAATCTTACTTCTCTACGGATCTCCAGTCTTTTGAATCTTAGGACCATAGGAGGGGAGTTGACACACCTGACCTGTCTTCAAGAGTTGACAATTCAGATGTGCCCTGAGCTGCAGTGCTTGCCAGATGAAGGGCTACAGATGAAGGGTAATTATTCAATTCTCTCTGGTGTACTAGTAGTTCTGCAGTCTGTACTTCTAAGTTTAATTTCAGTAGTGAATATAGTGGTGTTTACTTCTTTGTCACTGTGAAACATATTGATACTCTACATTTTCTTAGTTAAGCCAATTTCCTCCCATCTACTTTTTATAACATACCTGCCATTGATTTTGTGTTTTATAATATAAGGTTTGCATGGTAATGCTCAATACATGCATCCCTGCTTATTGGTCACTGAGTTTAAATCTAGCTTGTGTATGTCATAAGTCATTTAGTTTTTACAGATTGCTATCCAAGTTGGGGGCATTTAATCATCACAACAGCAATTCAAAAATTCTAATTGCAAATGACTCCAAACTTTGGATGTCTTACTATCAGTGTCTTCAAAACGTTCAATTCTAAACGTTTAAATACCTCATAATGATGTTTGTTCTTCTTTATGAAATATGAGACCTCTTTAAATACCTCATAATGATTAATGAGCTAATTTAAGTTCCTGATCCGAAATTGTCAATGTTGCCTTTTTGACATATCTGAATCTATTGTGGAAAGCTGCAATTGTAAGCTCCTTGCATTGATGCTGAAAAGATTGTGGATTTCGAAATAAAATTTCTATTATTTTTATGATGAAGAAGGAGCCTTTGAATGGACTAGTTTTGCAATGGGGATGCAATAGTAAAGACTCATTTGGAACAGTTTCTTTTTGGAGCTGAGCTGAGCTGTTGGCAAAGGGAATGACCTGGAGGGTTGGAAAGGGTGAGTTGGCCAAATTTTGGACAGATCACTACTACAAAAATTGAAATAGACGACGGGGAAACGCCGTCGTCTTTTTCTTTTTCAAACCGTCGTTAAATCGACAGTCGTCTTTTTGAAAGTCAAACTACGACGGTAATTCACCGTCGTCTATTATATGTAAAAACGACGGTTTTTAAAAGAACCGTCGTCTATTACATGTAAAGACGACACTTTTTCTGAAAAAAACCGTCGTTATTGAATGTAAAGACGACACTTTTTTTTATAGAACCGTCGTCTATTAAATATAAAGACGACACTTTTTCTGAAAAAACCGTCGTCTATTTAAATGTAAAGACGACACTTTTTCTGAAAAAACCGTCGTCTATTTAAATGTAAAGACGACACTTTTTCTGAAAAAACCGTCGTCTATTTAAATGTAAAGACGACACTTTTTCTGAAAAAACCGTCGTCTATTTAAATGTAAAGACGACACTTTTTCTGAAAAAACCGTCGTCTATTTAAATGTAAAGACGACACTTTTTCTGAAAAAACCGTCGTCTATTTAAATGTAAAGACGACACTTTTTCTGAAAAAACCGTCGTCTATTTAAATGTAAAGACGACACTTTTTCTGAAAAAACCGTCGTCTATTTAAATGTAAAGACGACACTTTTTCTGAAAAAACCGTCGTCTATTTAAATGTAAAGACGACACTTTTTCTGAAAAAACCGTCGTCTATTTAAATGTAAAGACGACACTTTTTCTGAAAAAACCGTCGTCTATTTAAATGTAAAGACGACACTTTTTCTGAAAAAACCGTCGTCTATTTAAATGTAAAGACGACACTTTTTCTGAAAAAACCGTCGTCTATTTAAATGTAAAGACGACACTTTTTCTGAAAAAACCGTCGTCTATTTAAATGTAAAGACGACACTTTTTCTGAAAAAACCGTCGTCTATTTAAATGTAAAGACGACACTTTTTCTGAAAAAACCGTCGTCTATTTAAATGTAAAGATGACACTTTTTCTTAAAAAACCGTCGTTTATTATATCCAAAGACGTCTATTAAATCTAAAAAAGACGGTTTTGTTCCAAAAAATCGCCGTTTATTATCTGTAAAAATGATGTACTAATTTCATTTTAGATATCCTAAAAAATTATTTCTTTCATAAAACTTGAAGATTCAATTGTAATTACATTGTTTACCAATCTTGATTCCTACTATATCCATACAAAATACCATATTTATAACATTATAACCTATAATTACAAAATACCATATCCAAAGCATTAACCTATGGTTGTTGTATCTTCCACAATTTGTACTTGTTCTCCACATTCAGCTGTCATCTTGGAGTAGTGTTCTAAGTCATCTTGGTCAAATGGATCTTATATTCTTCTAAGTTGTCATCTTGGCCTTTGAGCTACACTTGATATAAGCTGCAGCACCTATTTGCCATGTCATCTTACCTGAGCAATCAAAAACCACAATAAGATTACATTATCTTGCTGTCATTTTAACTAACAAAAAATATGCATAAGCTTATGCAGGAAAAGTTCATTTGTAACACAATACAGAAGAACATTTTGACTAACTTAGAATTGCTTCTGTGACGTGGATGGCGAGAGCTCACCAAGAAGGCGTGATGGAGATCTGTCATCGAACCTCAGGCAACATCGAAGACTAGATCTGATGTTCTAGGATTTTCACATCTCGCAAGGTCTCTAGATATGTTTTCAAGGACATCGTCGTCGTTGACTGAGAATATGGCGTCGATGGCGGCTAGTGATGACTGATGCGAAGAACGATGGCGTTGATGGCGTCGCTGCGTCGATGGCGTTGACGGCGTC